CATTATGCTCTCCTTGACTACAAAATCCTCTTAAATGAATAAAGGATGCCAAACTTCAGAGTTGACCGTTTATTTGAAAAACATAAAGCTCTGTGACCTCAATACTATCCCTGATTACATGGTATATTGTTCATGTGTTAGTTCTGTTGCTGTCATTCTGAGAATTCTTGAAGTTTACTTTGTGGTATCATGTATTACATTACTGATATATCAAACTTGATTGACCATCTTATTTAGGACATCCAACTGAAGTTTTAGCTTATAGGGTTGTTATGTCTATACTTCCTCAGCCAACAACTGAAAGTAAAAGGTACTCTTACTTTCTCATTCTGTTAATTTTCGTTTATAATTTAAGTTCCGAGGAGATGTCGTTTTTCAAGTACCCTTGACTCTTACTTGTAATATTTAGAGATGGTTTTATGATTTTGTGGGAAATTTAGAAAGCCATGCAACCCGACGGTTTAAACACTGAAAAATGCCTTGTAACACATAATGGAAGAAAAACAACTGCTCAAAGTTTGAAAAGACCGTTCCGTATGCTTTAGTAATCCCAAGTGGCAGGTTTGAGTTATCTAATTAAGTCTTCAACATTTGTCTTTTGATCTGATGTTAATAGTTAATGAGCTCTTTTATCTATCTTTGCACTGGCAGTAATAGGTTCTTTTATCTAATGAAGTCCGATAAATGAAAATATAATTAAACAGAAGTCCTCATTTTCCACTCCACTCCCTGGCTCATGAAAGTGGTGCCAAACAAGTTAGAAAAGGATCAATTAAACGTGCTTGGGCAGTAAAGTTGACTACAAGTTTGAAAAGTGAAAAAACCTCAAGTTGTAAAAAAAAGATGAAAGTTTCTTTTAGTGGTGACACAAAAAGTGTGTTGGCTGAAGATCAACAGCAGCAAGGAAATAGAAATATGGCTTTAGAAAGACTAAATGAAAAGGTTAATGGGAGTCCCACTGTTGGAATTTCATATGGTCATGGTTCAACAGTATATAAGTTGCCTTTAGCAAATGAAGCAACGTTGTGTAAATGTGAGACCATTACAAATAAAACACAATGTTTTTTGTCTTTCAATAGAAGACTTTGAGGTTTAGTATTTCCTGTAAAGTCTATGATATGACTAAAATTTCCCATCTTTTCAATCAAATTGATGAAGTTTATTTGCTATATAAAATTGCAGGCTACAGGAGAGATGGTTAATTACTATGAAGGCAGACTTGTACCTCAAGATTACAATGGTGGCTCTAAGGTCATACATTCGCACAAGAACTGCAGTGAATGGTAAAAGTGTTCATAACCGAATATGCTCTTTCGGTACTGTTTCAATAATTTTAATATATAATAATGTTATTTTTTTCAGGGCTCTTAATGTTTATTTTGAAAATGAACTCCAGAAGTCGAAAAATAAAATGCTCTTGTTGCGAACTCAAAGGTGCATCGTTTGGCTGTTTCGAAAAGAGTTGTCGTAAGAGTTTCCATGTTCCCTGTGCAAAATTAGTCTCACAATGTCGGTGGGATACTGTAAGTGATACAAATTGGGGCAGTTTTCTAGACTTCATATGATTTTGGGAAGTTAAAGACTACATTCCTTGTTAACGAGTGTATATTTATTTGGATCACAATAGGATAACTTTGTAATGTTGTGCCCTCTCCATGCTTCTTCTAAGTTGCCTAATGAATAGTCAGAATCTCAAGGAAGTAGAAAAACAAGTGTTTTAAGAGGGTATGCTGAAGTTTCATCCAGTTTATTCTAGTTTCTTTACAAACTTCACCTTTTCATGCTCATGGAAATTTCATTAAGTTATTGCTTCATTTGTAGACATTTGTCAGTTCACAACAAGGAATATCCTACAACCGAAGAAGTCAATAGGCAGAAGAAAAAGAATCTTTGTGAATCGCGCGACAAATTGGTTCTCTGTTTCTCAGCTCTCATAGTTGAAGAAAATGTAAGTGTCACAATCTATTGTCCTTATGCATTTTTGCTTTTCATTCACATTAGGAAAATCCTCGACATTTACTATAATATTATTTATTTAAATTAAAATATCATAAATTAAATTAATTTATTCTTAATTTAAATTAATTAATTTATAAATATAATAAGGATTAAGATCCACTTATATTGTGTAAAACTCTTTTAGGTTTGCATCTTTTAGTCTCATTGGATTGAGAGAAATCAAAGGTTGAGATTAATTCGTTTTTAGTGAATATCTGTTCATTTTCCATGGTTAATCTTAGTCTTTAATTTCTTTCATCAATACTCCTAAACTGATATAAAATTAAAGAGTTTTACACACTATAATTGGATTTTGCCCCCATATAATAATATTAATATTAAATTATAATTTTAATATATTAGTATATTCTTAAATTAAATTGATTTAAATTATTATAATATTATTTAAATATTTTATATAATTTATTCTTAAATTATATTAATTAATTTATATAATTTTTAAATATAATAGGATTAGGATCCATTTATACTATGTAAAACTCTTTTAGTTTTACACATTTTTAGAGCCATTGATGAGATTAATTCGTTTTTTAGTGAATATATTTTTATTTTCCACGATTAATTTCACTCTTTAATTTCTCCCATCTACGGTCTTAAAATGGTATAAACTAAAAGAGTTTTACACAGTATAATTAGATCCTGCCCTATATAATAATATTAATATTTAATTATAGATTTAAACTATATTAATATGTTCTTAACATAAAAAATTTAAATTATTCTATTATTATTTAAATATTTTTATATAATTTATTTTTAAATTAAATTAATTTATTTTTAAATTATATTGGTTATAGTTTATAAATATAATATTATAAATCATAAGAATTTAGGTATAATTACCCTTTTATCCTAAGCAAACGGTTGAAATCCCATCTATAAAAATAAAAACTGAGCACTACCTATCACCCATTTAAGAAACTTGCCCATTGATTATATCAATCAATTCTTTAGATTCTCAGGTTAGTTTCTTTTACCCAATTCTTGTATCTGTTACGTTTTTCTTTTAATTTATACTTTTGTTAGATTATATTTTGTGATGAATTTTTTATGGGTTTTTTAAAAATTTGATGTATATTCTGATTACAGATTAGGGATTTTTTTACCTAAATCTAATAAATTGTTGACATTTGAGTTTTCTTTTCTGATTACATATTAGTGTTGTTTTGAACTCGTTATTTCATTTGCAAAGGTTTCTCAGTTCTGCATGTGACTAATTCCCTTTCATTTATGCCTTGTTTGGTTTCTTTGTTACGTTTCTCTGTGTTTGCTTAGTAAGAAAAAATACGAAAAATAAAATTTAGGACATGTATTATTGTTTGTAAAAATAGTTTCTATGTACTTCCATTTTCATTGTTTTCACATGTTGATGCCTTTGGTCTAGTGATTCAATTTGCTTTCTTCAGTTACTCTGCTTTTTTATTCAAATTATTTTTTAATGTGACAATCGATGTGTATTTTTTATTGCATGAATATGTTTATAATAGGCTTCAATTCAGGTTTATTCTTCATAATTTCTCATATTTTGTTCCTTTTAATTTTGGTTTTTCTTGACTTAAAATCTTTGAAACGTTTCAAATATGGATGATATTTTACTTTATACAAGGGTTTGTTTACCTATATTGATACAGACATGTGAAACTATATGGTGTTCTCATGGACTAACCAAGGGTTCACTGGTTTACCTTAATTGTCCTGTCCAATTTATGTTTAAATCTACAAAGGTAACTATCCTTGAATCCAGGAACAACATAGGTTTAGCCTTAAAAATTCTCTTTCTTTTTTGTTTGAAACTTGGAATAAATAAGCAAATGAAGTAGTGGCAATTTTTATGAATATGGATGATTTGTTTACAGATGGAGACTATTTTGCTCAATGGTAGTTGATATTTCTTTCTTACTTGAGCCAATGGTTCTAACTAGAAAGATCTTTAAGGCATGGAATTCTTGTTCTCAAGTAAGCAACAATACCCTTTTTTATTATATTGATTGACTCTTTCTTGCACCCCTACCCTCCTGCATTGCAGGGGTGGGGCTGCATGAAAAATATCTGACATTGAAGATTTAATGCAGAAATCCAAAGGAGAGGAGACTGACGAGCACACTCTAGCAATGCTTAAGGCAGAGAAAGAAGACTAGAATCACCACTTCACAATGAGAAATGGTTGTCTGTCCAGCTAAAGCAAGAACTATCATATGCAGAGGCTTAACGCAGATGTACAAGGTATAATTTTATTAATTTATTCTTAAATTAAATTATTTGTATAATTTATAAATAAATAATAATATTTAAACTATAAATATTATAAGAATATACTAATTTAAATTATATCAAGGGTTTGGTGATCAGTTTTATTCACTCCTTTGGACCATCACTGTTGAAAGTAAAATAATTCATGGTTAAGTTTAAAACTCCTATTGTGAAGGTATTACTGGCGAGAATTTACATGTTCAATATTTTGCAGAAGCTTTCTTGTTGTTTATGCTCTCTCTTTTTCGCACAGGCTTCTCACATGGTCAACAATATGAAGGAAGAGATACCATATTATTCCATGCCGGAGTACCATTCTCGGAAGTAAAGTTTGGGTGGTAATACAAAGGGCAAGATCATTAAGTATCGTTTTTTATTTCTATCCCTTTATTTATTTATTCTGCATATATGAAATGAATATGCTTTAGCTTCATATATTAGACAAAAGAAATGAAAAACAAGATGCTTTGTTTCTATCCTATCATGATCCTTGATATGTGTAATATTTAGAGAAAATATAGAAAGACTATGAGGTTAGAAATGCATGTGTTTACACATATTTCATCTATCTTGATTTTTTCTTTTCTCAATCTTGTACATGTGTGTGCCTATGAAAGCATGCAAGCTGGTATGTATCGGCTTAAACATTTAGGAATCACACAACTAACAACTCTAACCAGTGCTATGAGTCAACTCTTGCTACATCAAACATTGAATTGGAGCAGCAGATAACTCCATGGAATCTAAGTGGCAATTTTGTTGCATGTACAAGCCAGGTAAAATGTTACTTCTACTAGTAAGGAAGTACTAATGTTTTTGCGTTTCAAATAAGCTATAAATCAACAAAATCACATATTTTGAAGTTGACATTTCCAATCATATTCTATAAAATTTATTAATATATTCTTAAATTAAATTAATTTAGATTATTCTAATATTATTTAAATATTTTTAAAGCATTTTCCGTACATTGCTTATAGTGTTTTGATTTGTTTCCCTTATTAATGGTTTTCAAACTTAGATTTATTTTATTCTTAAATGAAAAAAATTTATATAATTTATCAAAATCATAATATTAATAGTAATATTTAAACTATAAATTATTATATATTTGTTTTTTGGGGAAAATTGTTTGTGCTTGAAATGCTGGCGTTGGGGGCTTAATATATGGGCTTTGTATCAGTCTTAATGTACTTTTAGATTGAAATCTTAATTAATGGCATGCAATTGCTTGTTCTTTTTGAGATTTTTCATAGTTCCTATGCAGTTTCCGCCCAAATTCGTAAAAACTTGATTGTTTGTGTAAATTTTGTTAGAGTAAAGTTTCTAGGTAGTTGAGGATTTGATCGGCTAATGATATGTAATTTGAAAGCTGATTGTTACACTTTTTTTCAGGATGGTTATAATTCGGACAAGCAAAGCAAAATACTGTTGATTTTATTGTTTGTGGGAGTTCCTAACCTTTTCTTTGTATGATTAAAGAACTACTTTTAAAGTATGATGTTTATGCTAGTACCATGGGCATAATCACTGTCGATTTTGATTCATTTTGAACTGTTAAGATTGTCCTTGCGGATAATACTCTCTAATGGATGTAAATCAGTAATAAGTTGCTTTGGTTTGCTAATTTCCTCTATGTGTTTGATAACGATTCTTTGATTTTATAGGTGCAAAATCTTCTTCAACAAATGGTGAGTTATAATTGGACCCTTTTTTGTTAGATTTTTTTATTTGTGTTGACGGAATTTTGTTTGCAGCAATCTAAGTTTCAAACAATGTATGGTTCTATTATCACCAGAAATATCCTTTCAAATGTTCTTACATAAGAAAAACTTTTGTCAACAATGTCTGATTAAGTAAATAGTTTATCGTAAATGTTAGTATCATTTAACGATATTTCTAGAAACCTAGAAATGGAGAAGATCTATAGCCGAAAAATGATGCCTTTTTTCTTCTATAATCCTATGGACGTAATGGACGTCATAACTAGAATGTACAAAACACCCCCTCATCGCAATAGGCGACGAGGGTCAAAGCTCAGCTTTGATCCACCACGGGATACGTTACAGACTTACTTCTTACTAATAATTTCTTTCCTGTTGAGCTTCTAGTTCTATTGTTACATAAATAGATTGAATTGTGTAAATTAGCCTTTAGTTTAGTTATACATTTGAGACACTCTTTCCTTCTTTCTATGTTTATTGAGATACCTTCTTGTATTTCAATGGATATGAAGTGGGTTTTAATGAGGCTTCCCTTTCTTATTGAAAAAAGTTTAGATATGCATTTGCATGAAATCATAGACTATATTGACTCTTTCTGAGATAGTGATGTGAACCTATAGCTAATAGTTGCATTGATGGCCAAATTTGAAGTACGAAACTTTCTTATGTTTCATGGTTTAGCATTATTTTTAAGTGAAATAGTTATGCATTACTGTCAAGTATGGGACAGTAAATGTAGTTCATTGCCTAACCTGGCAAGGAGAACACTCGAGACTCGAAATCTGTATTCAATATCAATTCCATTTAAGCTTAATTGAAAATCTATGGTTGAACTTGAAATCCTCTGATACAAAGCACATACTCTGAGTATGTCTTGAATGCTTCTGTTTTATATATCTGCCATTGAAGATTTAATGTGTTCAGATTCACATTTTCTGTATCGTTTGGTTTATTTATTTCACTTAAGTATTGAGTGCATGCAGAAATCCAAAGGTGAGGAGACTGACGAGCACACTCTAGCAATGCTCAAGGTAGAGAAAGAAGAACTAGAATCACCCCCCAATGAGAAATTGTTGTCTGTCCAGTTAAAGCAAAAACTAGCATTTGTAGCAGAGGCTTAAAACTCAGACCTGCACAAGGTATAGCTTTTTCAGATGTATTATGATGGGCCACATAGTTCTTCGACTATTTTAATTGTATAAGTTTGGGAAAGTAGCTTAGAAATTTTACTTACTAAATTCCTTTTGCATCTTAGGAGCTCCAATCCGTACGCGGTCAACTTGTCTTGAGCAGTGAAGATGTTTCAAATTAGAGATATACTTGAAACAAGGGAACAATGGTACGTTGCTTAATATGTTTGGGAAAGTAGCTTAGAAATTTTACTTACTAATTCCTTTTGCATCTTAGGAGCTCCAATCCGTACGCGGTCAACTTGTCTTGAGCAGTGAAGATGTTTCAAATTAGAGATATACTGAAACAAGGGAACAATGGTACGTTGCTTAATATGTTTTGATTTGTTTCCCTTACTGATTGGTTTTCAAACTCTGATTTATTAATTTATTCTTAAATAAATTATTTATATAATTTATTAATATAATAATAATATTTAAATTATAATTATAAAGTATCATAAGAATATATAATTTAAATTATATTAATATATTCTTAAATGAAATTAATTTAAATTATCATTGTTTGATTTGGATAAATATCATGTTTGATTTGGATAATATATTCTTAAATTAAATTATATAATTCAAACTCAGATTATTAATGTTAGATTTGGATAATGATTATCATTGTTGATTCAGATTATGATGTGAATTGTGACTTTATAGATTTTAAGACATGATGTGTTAGATGTGAATTAAAATGTGATTTGTATATGTTTGATTCAAGTGTTTCTCTGTACGGTGCAATATGTTTTTTGTTAGTTATCTGATTGATTGACATTTCTTTGTTTATTGTGAGCATAACTGTTTTGAGATTATTGATGTATGTGGTATTTTGTTGGAAATGTCTTGTGAAATGTTGATATATCGAACTTAGAAATTAGGCAATGCATTGGATTATTTATATATGTTATATTCTTACATTCGGATAAAATTAATTCTGATTATATATGTTGTCAAGTTATTAAGGATGTCACTTGGATTCAGTGGCCTCAGCCTTTGTGGCAGACCCAACTTCGGATGATTTGTAAGGTTCCGGTGCGTGATATTGCATAATATTCGAACAATGATTTTATGCTTGTTTAGATTATTATTGTATATTCGACGGTGTGTAAGGTGTATGGATGCATGATCATGAATAATATTTCGATTATGACTATTATGTTTGGTTAGCCCTTAGAATATTTATCAATGTGTCTTTATAGGGTGCTATATTTTGTTTGAGTTATTTGATTGAGTGATATTTTCTCTATTTATTGCAAGTATGAATGTTTTACGATTATTGATTTTTTGGTATTTTGTTCAAAAAATGCTATGTGAAATGTGTTAATATATATCAACTTAGAATTTATACGATGTTTATTTATTTTTATATTGTTGGGACTGATAGGGAAGTCCAGTGTATTTACTCGATGGAGTGTGTCGCTTCGGATTTAAGGGCATCTGCCATTTTGGTGGATTCACTTCGATGGTGTTTATAATTTCAGTGCTTTGGGAAATTAGTTTTTGAATGATGTGCAAGGTGTAGGGCATTATCATTTGTATAATATTTTGTGGTCTCTGTTAGAATATTTTGTTAAGGTGTGTGGTGCATGATTTTTGGTTGATTTGAACAATGATGTATAGGGGACAAAGTGTGTTGGTACACCTCGACAAGATGACAACGACGATGACGATGATCAATGCCTACGACCTCGTTGTACTTGACGAGCCCCGTAGTATTATCATTCGACCACTCTTGGATATCGTCAAGAACTTAAAAGAGTATGATTTACTTACATTATGTAAAACTCTTTTAGTTTTACACCTTTTTATTGCCATTTGATTGAGAGAAATCAAAGGATGAGATAAACTCTTTTTTTAGTGAATATCTGTTCATTTACCACGATTAAACTCAGTCTTTAATTTTTCATCCAATGGCCCTAAAATGATGTAAAACTAAAAGAATTTTACACAGTGTAATTGGTCCTGCACTATGTAATATTATAATTAAATTATATATTAACATATTCTTAAGAAATGTACCCCTGACTATTAAACAATTCTTTGGATTCTCAGGTTAGTTTCTTTACCCAATTCTTTAATAATATGACTAAATTGAGATAATATGTAAATATGGATCGAATGTGTGATTATATTAAAATATTAACTACCACGTCAACTAATCTGTTAAATGTTAACTCATGGTGACCACATATTAATTAAATAAAAACGAAAGTTACCATCTATTATGTTTTTTTGAATAAGTGAGGGAAAATTGGCAAAACACAAGCATAAATGATTAATCATGTAGTTAACATTTTTTTTATTTTTTATCTGCAAATTCAAATATATTCTTTTATCGATGAATTATAGAAGTAAAATTATATGAATATGATAAGTCAAGCATTGCAGAAATGCAAAGCTTAGAAATCTCAAGAAGAAACAAGAAAACGTTTATTGAATTAATCTGCTTTACACATCACCTTTGTCTACTACTTATTTGTTGCCCTGAAATATTCTTCATTGGTGTTTTACATTTGTGCTTCTCTTCCACTATGTTGCAGAGTGCAATCCTTGCCTAGATGATACAGCATTAGACCCTGATCAGATTGAGAACCTTATTAAGTTTTTTCCTACAAAAGAGAGATTGAATTACTCAAGGTATTGAATATATGCGTTTCTATTATTCTCTATCTGTGCTCTTGAAGTAATAGTTTTCAGATTGTAAGACTTTAGATGCTCATAACAGAGTAGATGGCATCGTGTACATTATGCAAATAATCACGTTTGAGGGTGATGATTATTTTTATTTTAAGGGTCATACGGGAGACAGGGAAAACTTGGGAAAATGCAACAGGTCAGCAGAGTATCTTTGGGTTGTACACGTTTCTTTAACAATTTAGTTTGCATATAATTTGATTACTTGCTCAGTATTTGGTGACAGTTTTTCCTAGAATTGATGACAGTGCCACCAGTAGAGTCTAAGCTAAGAGTTTTCTTATTCAAAATACAATTTTATTCCCAGGTATGAGGAGAACCTGTGTACTCAGATTGGTATGAGATGCTTTCTACTGTTGTTGTCACCTAATTGGTACTTCTTGCACCTTTGCAGGTTTCTGATCTTAGAAATAGTTTGGACATTGTAAACTCTGCTGTTGGAGAGGCAAGTTAAGCTTTTTTTGGACATAAATTAGCTTTTCCAATTAAAGGTATTATTTCTCCTGAAGATTTTAGTCATTTAAACCATTTCACCAATGCATTCACCAGGTGAGGAATTCGGTCAAATTGAAAAGGATCATGCAAACTATTCTTTCTCTGGGAAATGCTTTGAACCAAGGAACTGCTAGGGTGAGTGATTTAACTGAGGAGGTATATTTTATTAATAGATGAAGAACTATCTTATTTTAGTCATCTTTTGTATCCCATTCTGCTTAGATAAATTTGTTAATGGGAAACAGGTCAGTCTTTCACTGCTGATTTGCCTTCTGTATTCTTCTTGAATGAGTTGTGTATTTTCACTGTTTCCTTATTAATTGAGTCTCTTAAATGTTTAACACGGTCCTGTAATCCTGTTTTTACCTTAACTGCTAAGAATAGAAATCGAATCCCTAGATGTCATATCTGTACAAATTTTTCAAGAAGCATCAATTGCTCCAAACATTTCAGTAATTTGGTTCGTCCCCACAGGTTCTGCTGTTGGTTTTCGGTTGGATAGTCTCCTTAAACTCACAGATACACGAGCTCGGAATAAAAAGATGACTCTCATGCATTATCTTTGTAAGGTACAAGACCATCTACCTTAATTTTCTTGATTCTGATCTTTCCTGTTAAATTTGTTTGAATAACTTGAATATTCTTGTACTCCTACACTTATGTTTCAAGATGGAATGCCTGTCTTATTGTAACCAAGTAAATGCTTGAATGCGTGCAGACATTCACTGCATCCTTTTTCAATTTTGTTGAAGACTAATTTTCAAATTTAAAGGTTACTAATATCATGAAAATTATTGCAGAAAATGCATGGTATGTTGGGTTGTTTTACTTTTGCAATCATTAACTTATTGCCATTGTAGAAAATGCTTTTATTGACATTGCAAACCATACCTTATTATATGTGAGAATGTCGATTTATACTTTACTCTTTACGGCCTCTAACTTTTAGGTCCTGAGCCAAAAGTTGCCAGAATTAATAGATTTTCCAAAAGACCTTGCGACTTTGGAATCTGCAACAAGGTAAGATTTTTATGGCCTTTTCAGGTCATATTTAAATTGCTTAACCTTTTCCATGTGATGTTAAGCAAAATTATTGATTACCATGCAGGTACAATTGAAATGTTTGGCAGACGAGATGCAAGCCATTAGTAAAGGGTTGGAGAAGGTCATCCAAGAACTAGCTGCCTCGGAAAAGGATGGTCCAGTGTCTGCAACATTTTGTAAGGTATTTCCTATATATTAAATTGTTATTTTGCATATCAATCAGGTTCTGCACATTTACATGTTGGTTGGATTTTCTTCTTATATTTCATGCAGTGCCTGTTAGGGACACCACAATCTTGGCTTTCCAAGTCTCCAAACCAGCTCTCCCCCCGCGCCCCTTCCCTTAACTAAAATACATAATCTTTAAAGAGGAACAAGATGGTGCATTAAAGTTCTCAATCAGGATCTTTAGTAATTATTAGGTCAGTTTTGGCCTTTGCAGAAGCTAAATGGGAAGTTTAACTCAACATTGGTTAAAAGAAACTTGATTAGAGCTGTTTTGATCCGAGACTTTGATCAAAATCTCTTGAGCTTTAATCTCATGCAATAGTCTATGATTCAGCGTTGGCTTTTGATAAAATGGACTGCTGTGAACAGCCTTCCGAATTATTTTGCCAAATATTCATTCGTTTTGCACCTATGTGCCTAA